TGAGTGTCTGCAGAAAGGTCTGATAACGACACTTATGAGATTTTTAAAATAATTATTTGAAAAATATTTTTGATGTTTCTTATTTCTTGCCATTGCGTCTTTTTCTTTCTTCCTTTTTTTGCTAATATTGATCACGTTTTTGTTCTCCAATCAAGATTTTGGAGAAATTGACCAAAATTTAGTTCATAATTTATTTTTAGCAGCTCATATTCACGTCATAATCGCTCTGGCTAGACAGACACACTTTTTTAATTGTTATCTATTTATTTAATGCTTTATTTTATTAAGCCCTCCAAATTAATCTTAACAATTTGATTTTTGAAACTGTCATTTAAGTAAAATTTTAGTAAACGATACTGGAGAAAATCCACTAGGTTGCGTTGATAAAAGAATTTCCAGATCATCTTCGTTGTCGTTAAAAATGAAAATAATTTGAAAAGATAAAAGGACGACAGACTCGATTGTCATCTGAGAATCATAACATTCTAATGTGATTGATTCATGTTTTGCACTGGTGATGATAATATTGTTGATGATGTGTTGTTGCTCGATTCCATTTTTTTATTTTGAATAATTTGTATATAATTTTTTTGTCGCACTGATCGATTTGGTGATTTGATTATTTTAGAAAAAAGCTAAAACAAAACTCTACTTACACAATATAGATATGTTGGCGAACTTAACTTCAAGCGTTTTCTGTAAAATTTTCTTTGTCTTTTATTGTCACAAATTTTCTTTTTAAATGTGGTCATAAAGTACTAAATAAAATAAAATTTTGACTTTTTGTCGGTTATAATATGCCATAACACTGATTTTTTTCCACTTTCAGCGAATTTTATATGAGAGTGTATAATAGGAAAGGAACGCAGTTGGTGCTATTTTTTGTTTTGTTCGTACTTTCTTCCGAACAGTCTCTTTTTCTGAGAAAATTGAGTTGGATTTTGAATTGCTTGTAGGTATGAGATGTATGAGTCGTTAGTTTAAGGGAGGAAAAAGGGCGAACGTTACGCATGCTAGGGAAAAATGGGTATGTGTTAATGAAGTGAGTTGACGGAAAAGGTGTGTGTGCGTGTACGTATATGCGGATGGGTGTGTGTGTTTGGGGGTGAAATAATCTGGTTGGAGCGGGCAAGCGCATGCCCGTCGTTCCCCATATATGTACTACTACCCCTAAAAAATGAGATAAGCAAGAAAAAAAAGAAAAGTCCCATTTCCTGGGTACTGAAATTCGCGTCGACGTTCCCCCAATTATATACTGCTAAAAACGTAAGGTGTTTAACACAAACACAAAAAGTTTAGCGTAAGTTGAAATTTTACAGCGCCGTTTTTTAATAATGCTCAGTTTCTGAGGTAGAAGTCAATAGCGTACCTAATTTGATTTCTATGATTCGACCAAACGTTGCGTCTGGTCGTACCAACTTGGTTTAGTTGTTTCTTCCAGCACTTGAAGTGGAAGAAACTGCAAAAGAACAATTTAACAAATGATAAAGTTTATTCGTAAAATGTGGAATATAAATTATGATTATTATAAACTAACTTAGAATTATTCTCCTACATACTATAATAAAACAAATATATAAAGTGATGCACTTGCATTTATGCATTTATTTACTCCAGAAATATGAACAGCTTGAAGTGTGCCACAAAATGCAACATAAGCAATTTAATATATTTAGGACGAAACACTTCAAGGTCTGAATTACGTTATCAACTGTATTGCTGTCTATGGTCAGTTATACTGAAACAGACAAACATAGAAACATGATAGTGCGAATGCAAGTGCATGAACAAATCGAACAACGCTACGTTAATAAGTGCATATCTGACCAAAGATGAATGGGCAAATGAAAAGAATAAAATGGATTAATTTAAAATAAATAGTGCGACTAAAGATATATACACTTGAAACTAAACATAAGGAGTAACATCATCCTCAACCGAAATAAACGAAATATGTATTTTCCTAAAATGATATTACTTCAAATCGAAAGAAAAATTCTCCTTTTTCGCCAAAATTATAAGAGGTAACATCGTTCTAAATCTAATAAAATTAATTTTTTTGGCGCCAAAAACGTGAGAGATAACATAATCCTAGATGGAATAAAAAGAAATTTTCATATATCGCCGAAAACGTAAATGTTAAAATAATTCTAAAAAATTATGTTTTTGTTTTTTTCTAAAAACGTAAGGCTTCCTGACTCTCAAAAAATTAAATGTGTTTTTTGCCCAAAAACGTAAGGGTAACATTGTTCTCAAAATAAAAAAAATAAATTTTCATCTTTCGCCAAAACTCTAAGGGATAACGTCGTCTTATATCGAAACAAATGAAATGTTTGCTTTTCGCCAAAACATAAATCGAAAAAATTAAATAAAATTTTAAATTTAAGTTTTGTTTTTCTTCAAACATGTAAGGAGTATCAACGTCCTAAATCGAAAAAAGATGAAATTTCTACTTTATGCTGAAAACGTAAGCTGCTGCAAGATGTGGACTACACTCTCTTATAGTTTCTATCGTAAGTCAGGCGACAATCGCCAAGAGTATCTAACCATGTATGCAAATTCGCTGGCGATAATCAATTGTCTCCTAAAAAAACAAGTCGATAATCACGGCGGTAATTCCTGTGTGTCACTTGCTTGTAAACCAGCCACCATGATTGTTTTCAAATAAAGAAAGTACTTGTGACTATGGACGTGGGAGGAAGAAAACATTCGGATACTTTTCTTTTTAAATGGGATTAAATAAACAACAGAAATAAAGTTTATACTCTCTTTTTTTTACTCCATCTCTGTTCAACATACCAAAAAAAAAAAAAAAAAAAAATACTCTCTTTATAGAGATTGTTTTAAAAGAACAGAAAGCTATAGTAACGTGCTTAACAACATGTAGAATGTATTATTGCGCTTAAATCATACATAATAAAAATTAAATGAAAAGTGAAAAGAAGGTTTCCAATAATGGAAAAAATAAAACTAAAACATAATTGACTAGCTATTTTATATAACTATAATAGTGAAACCGAAAATCCATAAATGGAATTGAATATTATCATCAAGGATGAATACGAACACTTGGATAATTGTATCGAATATATCTTATTATTATTATTATTATTTTAATTTTAGACTAATGAATTGAATTCTTAGACTAAAAAAGACACATTGAGCACTAGCAACACAGGCTATCGGCTCAAGTCCGTGAACATTTGTTCTTTATTGAGTTCAATTACAATTACAGTTAAAGAAAGAAATATTAACACAAAAGACAAATATAACTATTTAGAAAAAAAGTTGGGAAAAAATTTGACAATAAATAAACAATAAACCGAACAGCTTATACATATAAACATTAGCCGGTTTTTGTTCTTGTAAGTGGCCGTAGCTTAACTGAATATAAATTCTTGTTTATCTATAGTTATTATAGCAATACAAATATTCAAGTTTTTTAATGAAACAAAAGTAAAAATAAAAAATGGGCACAAATAATTAAAATGTAAAAAGAATTTGAGTTTTTCATTAAATCTCACCGAAATCAAATGTTTTTAATTTCGTCTTTTCGTAATAATTAAAATGTACGCATTTTATTCAAATAACTGGTAATTACGTCTTCCTTTTTGTGCGTCCTCTTTTCGCGGGCGGGGGTGCGTTATCTGCTGGAGGATCCTCTTCTGGCGTGATGGGTTTCTTTCGGCCTTTTGGTAAAGATGTATTACTAGTTGCAGGCATCTCTTCAGCTGCTCTGCCTGTCTCATTATTTTCTTCCTCTTTTTTCGCAGTGCGTTTCGAATTTTTAGCATATTGGTTTTTCTTTGTAGCGATGTCATTGATTTTTGTATTTACTCCAGATTTAGCAGTCGGTGCATTGTCAAATTGAATTTCTTAGAAAATGTGCTCTTTAAAGAAACGCATCAAGACGTAGAATGAATGCAATTGCAAGACGATTACAATTCTACCTTAATAAGTAAATGTCACTGCAGTGGGCTAAGCTGTCTTCGCGATGTCGATTGCGATCATGGAGGTAATTATGTGAAGGATTCTCAAATATACACTTATTTTATAAATCGGCACAATACATGCATAACAAATGAGAACGAATATACACTTATTTTATAAATCGGCACAATACATGCATAACAAATGAGAACGAATATACACTTATTTTATAAATCGGCACAATACATGCATAACAAATGAGAACGAATATACACTTATACTTCGAGAGTAAAATGCGTGAAGCTAAGTGTGTTAGTTTCAAATTAAGCATCTCGGACGTCACGATATGGTGAACCAATTTTTTCGTTAAAATACCGTTATAATACGTATAACATAAAAGAAGTTGGAGAGTATAATGCGATAAAGTGTGTTAGTTGTAATTCAATTATGGTGGTCATTTAGAAAAAACGCAAAAGCATTTATGTGTTGGGTACGCGAGGTTCCAACCCCGCCGAATATAACTTTCCCACTTGTTTTAACTGCAATTTTTTTATTCCATGGCTTTGCTGGCACGTAAGCACACTTTCATCGAAATTTTCTTTCATGCATATCCTCCTTCCATGCATCCTGTTGGTTGTGAATTTCTTGGCAAGGACCATTGACTTCAAATAACTCCGAAAGAAGAAATCCAGCGAAGTTAAATCACATGATCTTTTATATCATTATTCCGCTCATATATTCTGCGAAATTTGCAAACTGTAGCCGCCAAACTTTCATTATTTTTGAAATATTATTGAACAGTGAAAAGACATTGCTCTGTCGTGTAGTGTTCCACTTTGCACTACCCTTAATAATATTAATCAGTCTAGTATTTCTACTTTCAAGCCTAACGAGACGTCTGATCTCTCGCGACCCTCGCGACCGACTCCCTAACTTATTTTATCCCAACTTGGAGCTCGGTTTAAAGCTAATTCTACGTAACTAACTATAATTTCTCTTTCGAATTCAACTGACACGCTCTCTCTGTTTACATTTTACGGGTGCTTTCCTTTCGAATACAACTTGCACACTTTTTCTCTATAAATTAAAGAACAGAGTCGAATGTTCAGGGAGTTAAACAGCTGGCCGTTGATTATGTTAAAGAAATCAACATCTTTAACTTTAGTCAAATTGGAGTTTGGTTTACGTTCATTGTACCGATTCGATTTTAAAATGCATAGCTAAGTACTAAGTAAAGCTTTTAAAATCTTACTTAATACATTTATTTCAAATACATAAATAAGTAAAAAAGTCTCAATTATCTTTGAATGAATACTTGATAATCATAGCTTAAATTTACCTCTGTTTCTTAATTAAGTTAAGAATAGGTAATCTGGAAAATATTAATAGAATAAAAGAGCACGACCATGAATTGCCACCGAGCTTAGGATCGCTATGATTAGCTCCAGAAACTTTATTATGATCATATGATTGTTGAAGCTCTATAACTACGTATGGTTTTGACAGCTCATTTTTAGTGCAAATATACTGGAGATTTCCTATGCGATTCCGCTGACTCGGATATGCCTGTAAATTATTTGAACATTGTTGACACAATTCGTTTTTTTAAATATATATATAACGTTTTCTACGTGCATGCAGCCATAGATCGCACTCCGTCACTAGCAGTCAGACAAAAGATGATATCATAAGACGAATTACATACGGAATTCATAGGGAACGGATGTGTTGATGGAACGAATAAATGCCCTTTAAGTGAAGCAATTTTCACTAATTGGAGAAAAAAGTACATCCTGAACGGATTGGGTCAGGGTCGCCAAGTTGTGGAAAAATAGAATTGAGGAGATTTCGATGGCATAAGGTGAGCGTCGAGATTCCCATACTATAAAAATAAATTAAAGAAACAGAATATCTTGTACTTCAGCATTTTATGATGCAACGCCCTTTAAGACCATTCGCAGAAAAGCTGAAAAGTTGAATTAAGTTTTGCGAAATTCCGGCTTGCATTAAAACCGGAAAAGCTTCAAGAATTAATTTATGAATGCACTTCGTTATATGCTTGTAAACAAAAGAAATTGTAAACCGTTTGGTACGGAATGGTCCCAGAAATAATTTGAAGATCATTTACTCCGATAGATATCAATCAAAAGGTTTGACAACTACTGAAACTATACCAAAAGGAGCTTTTATATGTGAATATGCCGGTGAACTATTAACAAGACAGCAAGCTCAAAAGTGCATGCAAGAAAATGATACAAGACAAGGAATGAATTATGATTTAAGCCTTTGTGAGTCCATATCGAATGGTGGCGGAACAACGAATAAAGTATTATTAACCACGGTCGATCAGAGTCGGAAAGGTAATATTGGACGTTATTTAAATCATAGCTGCCACCCAAATTGCCAAATAAAAACAGTGCACATTGAATGTCCCTTACCAAAGGTAGGTAAAACCATTAGATTCGTTAATAATTAATAAAATTTTTTTTCTTTTTTAATTTTTCAGCCATATTTTCTAAGAATTTTATAAAAGCTGGCGAAGAACTTTGCTTTCATAATAATGAAGGCATAATACAAAAAAATCAACCTATAGCTCAAGGCCAAAAAGGGATACCTTGTCTCTGTGGGTATTTTTAGGTATTTTTCACTTATTCATTTAACAGAATAGTTGAGGTTGTATATTGTTGCTGATACATATACAAAAAAAGGAAAATATACGTATAATGAGAAAACACAAACACATACGAAGGTTATTTGGACGTTGAACAAAAGTGGAATAATTTTGCATTATAAAATTATGTATTGTATGCTGTGGACCGGTGTCTAGGTTTATTTCAATTGCAATCTAAAATTGGCTTTTAAATCTCACCAACTTGCTGACGAAGACAATCGGAAATATTCTTGTAAATACTCTTTTATTGTTTCTGAATGAGTTCGGGTATTTATCCATAAGCAACATTTCTGATGGTTTCTTAGTCACATTCTATTGTAAAGTCAGCTTATGTGAGGAAACGAGAACCTTGTAAAAATTTAAAAAGAACTTGTAAATTAAATTAAAACATAGTCAAATAGAATGACATCAAAATTTACTAAAACTAGTCAAAATGCGTTCAAGGGGAGATAAATGCTCTTTTTTTGTACACTTATATATATAAGATTATATATTATATAAAACCACTTGTATGAATATATCGAAGAATTAACAGGAAATATTCAATAATATGCGAAAATCGAACGACAGGTCTCTAAAAATTCTAACGCCACTGCAGTTAACCCTTTTGAGATTATGGTAGAGACTGGAGAAAGAAAATGGGATATTTAACGGTGCATCCTGCAGCTCTTGTCAGAATCGATTAATTTTCGCTAAATTGTATTTACTTTAAATACTGGCCCATTAATTTCAATGAGCAAAATTTTGTTACGGAGTTTAAAATTAAAAAAATTCCGAAAAAAAAAATATATATATATATATGAAAGTTTCCTAAAATATTTTGACATTTTTGATATTTCTTTTTCGATAACTTTTATTATTATTCTTATACAAATTATTGAGAACATATACGCTTATTCTCTAAAGTGCCCATACTCTATACAAATACATGTTCAATTATTGAGACGTGTAAACAAACATATACGCCCATTCTCGCATGGTTGGAGAATCATTATTATTACAATTGTCATTACTAAGCAACTTATCAATCATTTCGAAATAAGCCGAAAGATCTTCATCACCGCTATTATTACATGATTTGATATTATCTGCAACGAATCAATGTTTAGTTAATTAATTAAAACAAGGCGGGATAAAGCCTAGCGATTAAAATTCATATTTAGTAGTAAAAGACTATACTCAATACGTATGCAAATACAATAAAAAAAAAACTTTTTTCGGAAAAGCAGGAGAAGAATTTTTTGATAAAGAGGAAAAATAAAGGATTTCATGTTCGTTTTGGAAAGAATTTTTAAAATGATCCGTTCCGTGCAACTATGTAATTGCAAATTTAATCTGCGGCAAGTACAAAACATTTTTTGTATGACTAATATAAGCGCCATGGTCCGTTCTGGTCGGACTTCCTTATCAAATTTTATCATTATGAATGTGTATGTTTCATAACACTGTATTTTAGAAAGTGCTTACGTGATTTCGTCAAGTTTCTTCGTTACAACCTAATTTCGTGTTACACGAGTATACTCGTTATCGCTAAATTTTTGAGGCGCAGCTTAAATGTACATTTTCCAAAAAGGTTGGCTGACACAGCTAGCTGGTTAACATTATGTGCACCAGACTCGGCCCGCCTTTCTCAACCAGGAGTTGGTCGTATTATTGAAAACTTGAAAGCATCAATATTACCGCGAAAGGTATGCGGACAGTAGGACTGTCACAAAAGGGAAGCTAAGGAGTCTCGTACGCGTACAATATTATGCTCATAAAAGATATTTCTGTTCTTAAATTGCATGTTATCGCGATGTTTGGAAGAAAAAAAATAAAAAAGCTCATAAGCTACGTTCTCCTCCTTAATTTATTGCCCTGCGATTACGAACCATTATAGAGGCAACCTTCAGATTCTTCCCTTCCAAAAATGATATCCAGCACGTCATAATATGGGCAAAGTTTATTTAAATACAAGGGAAGCAGATACATTAATTCGTATACATATATATATATATATTTATAGGAGAAATTCAAATTCTAACCTTTAGCTGCTTTTTCGCCTCCAAACGCCCGTATAATTGATTCGGAATCATGCGACCATTTTCGTGCTTTTATAAAATGAAGCCTTTTAGTTTTCAAAGCAATTCAGCATTTCTTTTGCAATTTCGAGCACTTTGCGGTGATTTTTTTATAAAACTTTTGTAGTGTGGGTTTCTGCTTCGGAAGAATCATCGAATGAATTGTGTACACTTAATAATAAAATGGAAAGAGAAAGACTTGCCTCAAAGCATTTTGGAAGTTTTTTAATCTCTTCACAAACTAATTTTAGCAATTGATATTGTCAGTTTCCCGTTTTGGATGAAACTTAATGCACATCGTTAAGTATATGGTACTCTGATCTCACTGCTGAAATTAATATTATATCGCGTTCCTGAAAAAAACCAAGCCAAAGGAATACTGGTGTTAATAGTTATGCTTAGTTTAGACATCAATAAAGCGTATGACTGTGTCGATCTGGGGAAACTAGGTCAAATTCTAACTGATTTTAATACACCGTCACAATGTAGAGTGTGGATCCTGAATTTCCTTTCGTCGCGAACTCTTGTGTTCAGATAAAATTCAGTTGAAGTTTGTGGAGGTCTACCTCAAGGTCTACCTACCTACCGTAAATATGAACTCAATTCTAAGACGCTGTACTGGTCTGTACCGTCCGACACCAATATCAATCTCATGTTCCATTTCGTATGAACTTCCTGTAGCAAAGAGAATTTTTCTTCTAACTGCAAAGGAACTTCTCAAGGTTAAAATTTTTAAACCTGTTTTTTTTTTTGATAAAGTCGTCTCCAACATAATGCTGTCTTCCGTAGTTACTCAAGCTGTTACAAAAAATTCAGTAACATTTTCAATAAAGATCATCATCATCAAAATCGGTCGTAGAGTTTTATCGTGCCTATTGCAACTTTAATACAAGACCCCGAGTACGACGATAAATAAACGCAATCATGAGCTCCTATTATTGGTGGCAGGTCAGAATGGCTCAGGGCACATATGCCTATTCACAATTCAAGGTACACATAAATGTTTTCTTTTTATATCTACTCTTGTCGGACTATTTATTTAATTTTACAATGAAAATGGAATTTAACCACTAAAAGTTAAAAGTTATTACTTTATTAATTAATAAGGTTGATAAAAAATATTATCCTCTTAGCCATAATAAAATTTGTTTATGATGACTTGCTTTTTACCTCCTCCACCTCTTTCCTGGGCGTGGCCTTGTCTACCTCTTTGCCGGCGCCTACGCTCTCCGCGTCAGCTGTAGGCACATTCAGGATGTCAAGCGTGGTTGTAAATGGTCGTAAACGAATATTCGGTTTTGTGGATCTGAGAGATATGCAAACATGGATGGGGCAATGTCGGTTATTGATGCCTTTTCTATTTATACGCTTATTGTTTATTTAAAGTTTATTAAAAACTGATATTAACTGATTGCATTGTAAATATATGCTTTTATATAAAAATAATCTTTTTGGCAAACTCTGTTTGATATTAAATGAAATCCAATATTGAATATTTTAAATAGAAAAATGCAAAAGAATAAAGAATAATAAAGCATTTCTTGTTGTACATGTGCAGGGCCTTTCCCGAACACTCGCGCTTATCCCATTTGCGTTTTCCTGCATGAGCTGACAAATAAAAGCCTGTTAAGCCAAGTGAGTGGCCAACTTATTGTCTGGTTAGCAAAAGAAGAAGAAAGTTGATGTTACTCGAAAGATTTTGGAAGAAGTTCCAATGGACCTACGCAATGACAATGTTGGACAGCTCTGTGTAGGGATTTTATGTGAATACTTACTATTGCTTCACATTGTCCGTTCACACCGAACAAGCGCTCGTCCATGAGTGAGACAATTTCTATACTACGGTGCTTCACTACTCCGGAAGTAGTAGTAGGTTGATTAAAAGTTTACGGCCCTTTAGTCCCTTCGAAGGGTGGTCTTGATCTATCTGGCAACGCAATATTTAGTGATCCCGGGTTTTATACTAAGTAACTACATTTCTTTGGCCACTTGTTTTCAATTTACTTCGTGGCGACTACAGTATTACTATCGCTGCCGGCTAACCCAGTAGATAAGATTTAAGACGACCAAGTCGATGTTCGCGGGTCTTTATGTGGTGCGCTCAGTCGGCGAAAAATTGACTGTAACGGTTACGGAGTCGGCGCACAACCCACTTGTGGCGCTACCAGGGGGGCCGATTAAAGGCAAGTACAAAGAACTGGCCGGAAAAATACGCGAGGAGCGACACCGTCCTGTGTCCGCGGAAAAGGTGCGAAGCGCGATGAACAACGTCAGGAGGAATCCGCAACGGCTCGAAAAAGGCTGTCTCTGTGGACACATTATTGCACATACCTAAGGGGAAGAAAATCCGTCTAAATTATAGCACAATTTCGATATTTGTTACCTTTAGAAGTTCGCTTAGTTCTTGTTTATCGAAATAAAAGCGAGTTAACTTACAACCGTCAAAATCTATTTCAGCCTTATAACGCACCAAAGACTTGCCAATATAGATACCTTTCAGGTCATGTATAGCTCACATCATAATATCACTTTTCAGCTCAGAATGAATCCGCTCCAAATGTTCCTGAGGTATAGATCTAAAAAAAAAGTTTTTCTTCCCTTAAAAAACAAAAGCATTCCAATAATTGCCAACCAAAGCGAAAACATTAGTGTAAATTATAAGCGAAGCGACAACCCCCAAGCTACCTACTAAAAGAGACCCAACAGCGTGGTATACGGGAGAACCCGTGTAAATAGATACGCCCATAAAGCATGCGGCCACCACCACGCTAGCCACAGCAGATGCATCTTGCACATACCAGCCGGATTCCACATTAACACAGGGATCTTTGCCAGTGATAACTAATATGTAAAGTAAGGACGAGATCTGAATGAGATATCAGTGCAAAAAATAACAAGCTCCTTATCATATTCTTTAAAAGGAATACCATTCAGTTTCTTTAGTAGCGATGATGGCTTGCTTCATATTTGGTATTTCAGGCAATTTCAGAGGAAAAAACCTGTTGCTACTTTCAAACATCACAGCAACCATATTACAAACAAAGCCGGGACAAAGGCAAAATCATAACGAACTAGAGAATCTAGGACCCCAATTATTGTTCATACAGAAAGAGATTAAGGAATTGCATTGGTATCCTCAATTGCGGGGGGAATATTATTAACAGCTCACTGTGGTTTCAATATATTCAGCGTATGAAATAATCATTTCAATAAAATAAAAAGTGAAATTTACACTGCGTTTATTATATTTATTATGTGTCGCATCGTAGGTCAACCGTAGTCGAGGACTACTAAATGGCGAAAATACATCGCTAGTTATTGCATGAATCGGAGACTTTTGAGTGATCTTTGTAACGGCCGAATCTAAAAATTTGCTAATTTCGCCTATGCCTGGTTTTAGCGGCTCGACTTTTGGAGAAAGCTTACCAGATTCCAACAAATGCTCGATGTCCAAAAAATAGCTTTGTAGTACTTTTTGACTGTCAAGGCATTCTTCGCGAAATAAATGCACTTGCCTAAAACGTTCCAGACATTCAGTAGAAAATTTGCCCGTCGTTGGGTTTTATCTAGAAATATATGTAAACACAATGTAATCGTCTTTATATATAAAAAATTTAGCATATGCATACATTTAATTTCCATATGTTTAGATCGTCAAAAACTTCCTTAACGTCAGCACTAACGTCATATTCTACTTCATCATCTTCTTCCAAACTACATGAATCTTTCAGCTTTACACGAAATATGCCGAAGAAAACCATTTCGTCATTAAAATAACGACTGCAAGTGCGGCAAGTTCTCTCCAAGAAAGTTTTAATATCGAAGCATATATCTAACGCCATTGCTTAAAAATCTAATTTACACAAATGCTTTTACTTGAGTAAAAAACGCTTCTTCTTCTAAAACAACAATTGCCCTGAGTCGTTAATGATACTTTTAACACAATTACAGCAGTGCAATTTTAGTTTTTGGACGCAGGTTTTGAATTTTTATCGCTACTATATAAAATGTTATAAATTGCTTGTATAGAAACTTTGTACAAAACCGACAACATAATTTTTTTATAAATTAAAAAAAATTCAGTTAAAAATTAAAAAAAGTCCAATCGTAATTATCATTTATATCCAATTATAATTACTTTTCTGAAAATAGAGTAGTAAATCTTGAAATGTTCTCGAACGAACGTGCAGCAAATGCCTACTAGTTTAGAGAGTAATTAAATAGCAGCCATATATAACTACGTGACGGAAGTTGGAATGGTTTACTTCCGTGCTTTTACACAATTAAAAATTTGATTTCAATGAAAATAAAAAGAATATTTGCTTATAACATTTATAGTATAAAATTTAGTTAAACTTTGCATATGGAAATGCCCGATCCCATTTAGAAAGGTTTTAATTCTTTTCAATTTTTAATATTTTATCAAAAATCATATTCTTAATGATTTTATTTTTATGGTCAATATTCACAATTTCTTCAATTCGTGATAAGGATTTTGAATAAAGTTAGCAATTAATTTTTTTTTTATCCCTGCGCAAAATTTCAATAAAAAAAATATTCACAACGCCACTATCGGCTGTTTCTAGCATCGTCCAATAGCAATTAAATCAACTAGAATGACACCACATGGCAACCGCGCCCTTACGAATATTTCTAAGAGATGTCATTAGCTGGTGACTTAGAGTAGAGTTAGGATTCTTTGTTCGCATTCGATATAGAGGGAGAATAGAAAATAGGCAGGTACCTCCGATCTGAAATTACATTTCGTAGCTACTGATAGGGGCTGACTTATTAAAAATTTAATACTAAATTTAATAAATATAGTACATAATATATAATTTAATAATATGACACTTGAAGCTATATAAATATATATTCACTTTGAGCTTATTTGTATGTGTGTAATATAATTAAAGGCAAGTACATTTAAGCTATAAACACAAAAGAAGAAGGATACACCGATATTTCATTGAGATTCAAATCAAAGGCCGGTATAGCGAATTCAAAAGAAAATATATAAAATTAAAGGTCGGCATGGCGAATTCAAAAGAAAACATATGAAAATGTTTATAAATCAAAGGTCGATATAGCGAATTCAAAAGAAAACGTATGAAATTGTTTACAAATCAAAGGCCGGTATAGCGAATACTGAATGGTATCCTGTTCTCTGTGCGCAAGCTTTGTAGATGATCAAGAAACTGAAGTAACCTTGAAGGATATTAACCTTCTAGAAGTGCTTCAGTTAGTTGTATAATAATAATAAAGAGCTCCTATTGTCCCCGTCTTTGTTTTAAAATGAATACTATTGGCAATTCTGCATATAAATGAAAACAGTAAGAATTTTGCGTGTAGGTGAATTCTGGAAAAAATTCGAATAAATTGCAAATATTTCCAAAGCCAAAAAAATCAACTAGCAAACTTAGTTGAGCTGAAACGTTATATGAAATTTAGAATAAATGTGACAACGCATCTTTGAAAGATACAAACGGAATCTATGCTCCAGATGTATAGGTGTATATATTTGTCTGGCCAATATGAATACTTGAGGTCAAATTTCAATTTTGATAAAGATGGAAGCTTTTCAGCAAATTAAATTACACATGAATCTTCTATAGTTCTATACAAAGATCCGCAATAGCATAATTAATATGCTCTTATTTTTATTAAAGCAATATGAATTAGTGCTGTAGAAAACGTCTAAATCTATTGTAGTGTGATCGCATACCGTCGTATGCATCCACTTTGAAGTGCGACATTATGGTGAATTATGCAAATTCAGCATAATTCTGTAGCAAAAAAGTAAAACAAAAATTTTTTTGGCCGGGTATTGCATTACGAAATGCAACACGATGCCAGGCGCCCTAATTAAAATAATTGATAACGTTAGCATAAAATCACCTATAGATTTAAATATAAATAATGCACCTGGCAAATAAAGAATTTTAATTGTTTTATGCAGTTCAATCAAAGCGTATCAACTCGCTGTTTTAAAAAAGGCGTTCTATCTGCCTCGTAACTTTAATTAGGGACCGTTTCTTGCCGAGTTCTTTTGGCACTACTTGAGACGGATAGACTTGGCGTTCTGCAGCCGAGCAGATTAGGGACAAAACCGCAGTAGCGCACTGCGATACAAATCAAATCAAATCTAACATTCACACTTTGAGCCTACTTCTTTACATGGCGATCCTGCCAGGAGAGCAACCAAACCTATGGAGTAAAATAGAAACATTTAAAAAAAAAATATAACACAGCAAAAGAACTGTTAGAAATCGAAGCTACCAAAGAATCACTAGAAGGCATAAACCTCAGCAAAACAGACAATATAATAAAATCAAAAATGGATTTTAATTTAGAAATAGCTTCCAAATCCATACCCACTTTCACTGGCAATTACAAAGATATCAACTGCTTCTTAAAAGTTGTTCAAATAATAAACAGAACCCTAAAAGAAGAAGCCAAACCACAACTAATAGAATACACCTTTTATTGCAAACTATCCTCAAACGTCCAAACCGCCCTTGCAAATGTGATCCCAACAACACTACAAGAATTTAAAACCACACTTGAAAATAAATTTAAAGCAAATCAAACAATACCACAACTACATTCACTTTTAAACCAAACAACACAAAAAGGCACTATCACAGGTTTCAAAGACAAAATTCTGAACATAATAGCAGATCTAAATAATCTCCAAATTAAAACTAGAAATACAAAAATTATAAAAATTCAAACAACTCCCATATCTTCTCCCTCTCAAAACTATCAAACTACATATTACTAGATATTAAAAATGCAACAAAAACAGAACTATCATTTCTATTAGACACAGGAGCGGATATCAGCCTCTGCAAAGCACACCTTCTGGTAAATTACCCACTAAACAACGCAGAAAGTCAACTTATCAGGAATAACCAGCGAACATATAGAAACATTGGGAACCATACACCTGAATATAAGTCTAGGAAACGGAATCACTCAACATAAAATACAATTAGTAGGCCAGAACTTCCCGATAAAAACCGATGGAATCATAGGAAGAGATTTCCTACACAAATATGCTTGCAATATAAATTATGAAAATTTCTCTCTTACAGTTAATACACACGACGACCAAATTCCACTCCCAATATACGATGAAATACTTAATAAAAACAACATACTTCTTCCTCCAAGATGCGAAATTATAGTCCCCATAGATATCAAAATAGACAGCAATGCTTTAGTATTAAATAGAGAAATAGAAAAAGGAATATTTTTAGCCAATTCAATAATACCGAAAAAACGGACAAAAACACATTAAAATACTAAATACACTAAATGAAGAAATCACAATACAACACCTCCATATCAACACCGAACCACTCCATACCTACCCAATTATACAAAACACCAATATACACACTCAATATGATGAACAACGATTCCAAAAAATATTACAATCCATAAAATTAGACACCATCAACAACTCTCAAAAACATGAACTCATAAAAATTTTTAAAAAATTTCAAACAGTATTCCACCTAGAAAACGAACCACTCACAGCAAATAATTTTTATACACAAAACATACAAACAAACGACAATACACCAGTATACATAAAAAACTATAAATTACCCCACACACAAACTAACACCATACATACTCAATTAGCCCCTACAACTCACCACTCTTACTGGTACCCACAAAAAATCAGACAGACATAAAAAATGGCGACTAGTAGTTGACTACAGAAAACTAAACGAAAAAATAGCAAACGACAAATTCCCCCTTACAAGATTAGAAGACATCTTAGATAGACTAGGACGAGCAAAATATATCTCCACTTTGGAGATGACGAACTCATTTCATCAAATAAAACTTAACAAAAACTCGCGACCTTTAACCGTCTTTTGAACACCAAACGGACATTATCAATACACAAGACTTCCATTTGGATTAAAAATTTCGTCCAATAGTTTCCAAAGAATGTTAACTATAGCTTTATCAGGACTAGACACCGAAGCATTTTTATACGTAGACGACATAATAATACACGGATGTAGTTTCGAACATCACAACAGAAATTTAACAGAAGTACTAGAACGACTTGACAAATACAACCTAAAACTAAATCCAACCAAATGCAATAACACCCGAAGGCATAAAACCAGATCCCGCTAAAGCACGAAACAATAAAAAGCTACCCCCAACCCAAAAATACAGACGAAGTAAGAAGATTTGTAGCATTTTGTAACTATTATGGGAAATTCATAAAAGACTTTGCTAACATAGCACAACCACTAAACGATCTCCTCAAAAAAGGAAAAGACTTCGACTGGACAAACCAATGTAATCAGGCATTCCTAGAACTCAAAAACAAACTAATATCCCCACCCATATTACAATATCCAAACTTCGATAAACCCTTCATTTTAACAACTTATGCATCAAATTACGCCTTAGGAGCAGTACTATCACAAGAAGAAACAGGTCAAGACTTACCCATCGCATACGCAAGCAAACCCCTAAACAAACACGCAAAAAACAAACCAATTATAGAAAAAGAATTACTCGCAATCCACTTTGGAATTAGGCATTTCAGACCCTACACTTATTACACAAAAAACAACTAAAAAAGAAGTACACACAACAATCCACCGACACACTGAACGTCTAATACAAAACATTTCAAAAATTTTTTTTCTCTTAACACACAAAAGAATATACAAAATATTATTCCAAAAGAAAAATTCTAAAAAAAAAAACAATTTTATAAGAAATGTTAGAATAAGAAAACATACAAAACATGTTCAAATTAAGGAGATCATATAGAATGAATAGATATTTAAACCAAAAACTAATCTTACTACAAAAAAAAAAAAAATAAATAAAATAACATATATATTAAAAATATACACAACATGTTTACATTAAGAAGATAG